GCGCGCGCGAAGCGCGCGCGAGCGGAGCACCATAACTAAGAGAAACTATCCATCCGAGAAATTTTGGTTATGACGTCAGCGTACGTCCGTCCGTACGGACTTTCCGGGTAGTGGAAAGAAGTCCGCATCGACTCTTGGGGTAGGGGAAAGCAGAGATTTTTTTGGCGGGAAATCGCATGTGGCGCAACGTCGCGCAATTATATCGCGCAACTGGTTTTGAAAAAAGAAATTTCAAAGCAACTTAGCAAAAAGATTTTTCGACAGAGCCTTTATAACTTTTTATTACAACTTACGAAAGCTATTATGTCAACAAACAACAGCAGAGAGATTTTAGCGTGTAGATGACAGGTTTTAAGCAGAGAGCAAAGAGAAGGTGAACGGCAGAGAGCAAGAGTCAACTCCCGTAGAACAAGCGAAGACGATCGCCAAAGAGAGCGCGTTAGAAGTAGAAGAAGAAGACAACATTTTACCGAAGAAAGTCGGCAAGTAGAAAGAGAAGAAGGAGAGAAAATTATAGTGAAAAACGCCGGCAAGCAGAACGAGACAGAGCTAGAATGAACAGACAAAGGCAACGCGAAAGAGAAATACAAAGGCAAAGAGAACGGCAGCAACATAATGACATGATGACAGAAAGTGTTGTGTTAATGTCACTATGGCCCCGCGTTATTAACATTTTGATTTCAAACTGATCTCGGACGCGAAAATTCAGCCAGTCATTTNAAGGAACAGAAAGAACACTTTTGAAACAACAACAACAACAATAAAAAAGGCAATAGGTAATAACCAAATAATTCATCTCTTCAATTTTAGTAGTTATTTATCTCAGCTTCGAGCAATGAAAAATGGCCTTACCTTTTGGTTTGGTGTAATGGCAACGCCTTTTTTTCCGAGACGACTCTTGGACCAGTCCGCAAATTTGGAATTTGGGCGTAGGTACAGTAAAGGAGTGTTTGCAATTATCTTTATAATTTGTTGTATCCCAAATAAAATTATAATAAAGCAATACGAAATGTTTTTTTACTATCGAGGAATTAGATTGTTGAACATGGAAATTAGTCAAGACGTTTAAAGGTTTCCCAACTGCAGAGTCATGCTTTCACTTCATTACAGCTGCTATACACCTACAATATAGCATAAGAGTACAGATATATTTCCAACCGGAATCCTAAATCTGTGTTATGAGATACAATTCTGGACTCCACTGAATTAACAACCCCTTAAGCGTATCTACTCATGACATGGTCCTGCAAATAAAGCTTGTTGTTGTTGTTGATTGAAACGCAGTTCTGTTAATCATGAGTCGTGATTAACAGAGCACCTTGTTCAAGGCTTAACTAGCAGTGGGAATTGTAAATCATGAAGAAAAGACAATCTCTACGTTTGTGCTTTCATAAAAACAACAACAACAACAATTCTGACACCATTCGACAGACTACTGAATACAGTGCGTTATGTTTTCGATCGCATTAATTATTTATTCTCCCACTGTATTTTCACCCCTGAAGTGTGGAACTGGTTTTTCAGATCTTCGTCCTATTAATTTTGGGCTAGCTATTCCATTACCATTGGCTTAGAATAAGCTTAACCCATTCATTAGATTAACTGTTAAGTATCGCTATAACAACGTAGGCATCAAATTCGATTGAAAAGAACGCACAAAATGTAAAATTAATACAGTCAAACAGTACCTCTTTAGAGAAAATCGAGTAGATATCGTCACTTTTCGTTTAAAATCCCAACGAAGCAATTGCCCCATTTAAAATTTACATACTTCGTCAGTCTTTCATTTTATTTGTAAGTGAATCATTATTTATGCATATCTACAAAAACAATTTTGACACCACCCGACAGACGACTGAATACGCTGCCATTTTGTTTCGATCGAACTATTCTCGAACACTTTTCACGTCATTGGCTTTCAATCCGTCGTCCTATTAAAAACGAAAAACGGATAATTTTGGACCAGCTACATTGTTATTCCATAAGCAAAGGCTTAGTATAACTATGCACCTCAGATCTCCGGTTAACAATGTGAAATATCGCTATAAAACGCCTGCCTAAGAGTATGCAAAGATGTTGTATCACTAAGAAAATGATAAGTTTAATTTGCAGTTGAAAACGAAATTGATATAAAGATGAAGAATTGAGATAAAACTAGGATACGTTTTTTGAAGAACTTTACGAAATAAATACATGATTAATTGCAGCATTTTCAAAGGAAAAGGGAACCCTATCTTAACAGTCACGTTATAAAGTTCTTCCAGATATTGGTAATATTAAGGTAATATTAATTCACCCTCGTCTTGACGGAATTCACGAAGTAACAATCCGCTAAAATGTATTGAAATGTGCTCAAACTATCTAAGCTATTAATAGTGATTAAAACATCACTGACTGAAAGCAAATTAATTTCAATTTTTTTAATGTTCCATTAATTAAATGGGTGTGTTTGCTATTCAGTGCGTCGTAAAATGAGACGTTCTATTAAATATTAGTCCTTGTAACGTACAAGTTCATTTCAGCTACAGCTACTTCAGAGGCCCGTTTTAAGTGCACACTAATACAGAGCCATGATTCGTTTTAGAACAGCTCCGTATAAGGGAAAGTCTGAACCATGTTTATGTTGTGGTTCAATTTTATCGCTGGTAATAATTTCAAACTACTTATATCATACATATCCCAAAAGAAAATAAAATAAAAATTGAACCAAAGATAAAATTGAACGACAACATTTACAGGTCGGAGATGAAGAGCTTTTAAGATTAGGACAACGTGGGTTGTTAGTTTAAAAAAAATAAAGAAACAACGTTATCAATATATTAGCGTAGTTAATATTAGTAAGAACAATGTGGACACATTCTTCAATTTTATTCCTAACTCACATCTCTTTGCGTTGTCCCCAAAATCTGAACGACTGTAACAGGCTACACGCATGATAATGGCCAAGGAAGTACAGTTTGAGAGTACGACACTCTTATTATTTCAATCAAGTCTTTTAGCCTTGTGATCCGAGCACACAGTTTAAGCACCAACTATTCAAATACTAGCCATCATCGCGAAATGGACACCTCACCAAAATGAGTGAAATAAGCTTTACCCATTTATCTGAAGTTAATGTAAAACCACGAAACTTAAGGCATCAAATGGGATTGAAAAGTAATGCAGGAATTTGAAATTAATATGAACAGTACCTTTTCTGGGGAATCGAGTAGATACTCGCTATGTTTGCGATCCGGACGAAGCAGATGCCTTTTACAAATAACCTAAGCTTCTTTGCTCTTTCGTTCTGATTGTAGGTGAATCATTTTTGCACATCAAGGAGGAAAGAAATTAATCAGATGTTACCTTGACGGCTAGATTCCAAATTACTAACTTGTACACTAAGTTTTAAGTTGTGCAAAATATCTTTAGAAAAATCCATGATTAACTAAAATATTCTAAACAAAAAAAGTTTCCAATGCAGGAATCTTTGGACCGGACGTGACGTCATCAAATCGTTGTCCGTCAATTTTGCTTTGTCATATCCATCAACCGAAAAAACAATTTAATTTCTCAGTTCGCTTGTACAATAGATTTGAAATCTTTGCATTTTGTTATCTTCTAAATCCTGCCTATGAAATTTATCTAGCGAAGAATAAAATATCCATATCTTGAAAAAAAATCAACAGCATACCGTAGAGAGATTGAAAGAGCCGCGATACCGTCCAGAATGTTTCTTCTACTATTGACTGAAAAAAAAGGATCAGGAAAAAGGAAGGAAAAAGGGAACACCAGATATTGCCTTCTCTTTTTTTTATACTTAGCGTAATGTATATATAACAGCATTTGCGACTTGTCCAAATTTTAAACTTTAGTAAAAGTGGGGTTATATTTTTTTGTCTTTAGTAGAACAATTTCGAGATATTTCAATTCTTACTTGGCTCCGAGACTTGGATAACGAGCAATTTATTATTATTTATTCATGATCCTTAGGTGATTTCTTTTGTTTTATTTCCCCACGCCTCGAAGGTAAGTATGAATTGAACTATAGTGAGACCGATTTCGCTGATATCTTCAACTTAAAAGTTTGGAGTTGCAATTTCTTGATCTTACATAGACAGGAAAATTCATAAAAATCCCAGTATATATATGTACCTCTTATAACAGAAAATCGCTTGTGGATTAGGACATTTTTTTTCCCCGACGCGATCGAAGAAAGAGACGCAATATTTCTAGGCTATAAAACAAGTACTCTAATTTAAAGGCATGGCAGAAAATTTTTTAAATCTTTTTAAACAACCCACCGTTGAAAATAACTAGGCTAATAATAATGATAATGATAATGATGATGATGATGATGATGATGATGATGATGATGATAATAATAATGACCAATCGAGATGAACAGGAGCTTATGAAATGAAATGACTTGTAAATAGTGCTTTGACTGAATATATATATATATATATTTTTTTTCTTCTTTAGCGGAATTAATTGTAAATAGGCTTTAATAGTTAGTTTTGTTATCAATAAAAGGTTCTTATAATAATAATAATAATAATAACAATAATAATAACAATAATAATAATAATAATAATAATAATAATAATAATAATGACAACAAGAACAACCGCGCCAAGGCCACCTTCAAAAAAGGGCGACTAGCTGACTAAGTACGTAACATCGAGCTTGACGTCAACACCGTCATCCAGGACCTAGAACAGGAAGGTACCTATAAGTAAATAAATAAATAAATAAAGATTTGCAGGTAGCACATCCACATAGTGGTTCTTCGTCTACCTGATTCCTGGTCGAATTGGAATTTGGAAATGTTGGTTTTTGAGGAGAGGGGAAAACCGAAGTACCCGGAGAAAAACCTCTCGGAGCAAGGGAGAGAACCAACAACAAACTCAACCCACATATGGTGTCGACGCCAGGATTTGAACCCGGGCCACATTGGTGGGAGACGGTGGTATAAGTTCCTCGGAGTCAGCGAGGGAGACGGAATCCAGCACTGTCAGATGAAAGAGAAGGTCCGGAAAGAGCACTATCACAGGATCTTGATGGTACTCAAGTCTGAGCTGAACTCCGCAAATAAACAGGAAGCTATCAACACCTTAGTAGTACCAGTGGTAACTTACAGTTTTAACATCATAAACAAAAAGAGCTGGCCAAACTTAAAACAAAGACTAGGAAATTCCGAACTATGTACAGGACGCGCCACCCCAAATCTGACGTCGACAGGCCGTACCTGCCCAGAACCGAAGGAGATAGAGGGCTCATACAACTAGAGCATTCCTACAAGACGACCACTATCGGTCCTGATAAATACCTCCAGGGGACGCAGGACACCCTACCCCACTTTGTCAAAGATCATGACGACAGGAAATCCTTGTACTCCACCAGCAGACAGTCAATGAAGTCCAGTCGGGAACTGGGAGTGCCCGCAATACCACCTGCAGAGGATGAGGCGAATACCACCTATGCCCGAAGAACAAAGGCCAAAGCCAAACACCACGGTCACCAACAGCTCAGGCCAAGAGTGGGAATCAAAAGCCCTCCACGGCAAATACCCACAGCGGGTGAAACAGGCTGACGTTGACCAAGACAAGACCCATAGATGGCTAAAAGCAGCTGGCCTCAAGGCAGAAACCGAGGGCTTTATCATCGCAGCCCAAGATCAAAGCCTCCTAGCCAGCTGGTACCAACACAACATCCTCTGGAAGCCTGAAGAGGGCCCAAAATGCAGACTATGTGGCCGTTTCGACGAGACCATTGACATTCTGGTCTCTGCTGCCCTGAACTGGCTAAAACTGAATACACCCACCGCCACAAAAAGGCAGTTGCACACATACATTGGAAGATCTGCAAAGAGTTTGGCATTGAGGTGAAGGAACGATGGTATTAGCATGATCCCAAGACTATCACCGAGAAGGACAGCGTCACCATTCTGTGGGACATGCCCATCCACACTGACAAGACCATCGCAGCTAATTGGCCGGACATTGTGTTAAAGAACAAGAAAGACAAAACTTGCCTTCTCATTGACACGACTACACCCCTCGACAACAACACCTCAGTCAAAACCACGGAAAAGCTTAACAAATACAAAGACTTGGAAATCGAGGTTGAGCGAATGTGCGGGCTCAAAACAACAACAGTCCCGGTGGTTATGGGAGCCCTTGGCACCATCAAGAAGGTCATAGAAAACTACACCAGCTAAAAACCCTGCCAACATCAACATACATGAACTCTCCTGTCTACAGCCCACCTTTTCAGTCAGACGGGCCGGTCCTCTCCACCACGTAGAAACCCTCTTTGCCTCCCAAAGTCCATGGTTTGGACTCGGATGTTGAGAGAGAAAATCACTCGCAATTACACCAGTATATCCTATATAATAATAATACGATAGAGAAATATGAAATCCGTAATAAGCAAAACGTTTTTCCCCTAAAGTTCACTAAGTCGTCTTAGTACCCAGATTTTAAGTCAATTTGGCAGTATAAAACAATGCCTTGTGCAAAAAAAAGTGCTGTCCATTGCTTCATTTATAATAGACTTGATACAAGTTAAAGCAAAATAGTTTAAATGACTGTTTTCTGCACTTAAAGAACGTTCTAGGATCCTATCCCATAATCTTCTTCTTTATTTACATTCTNAGGAAGGTACCTATAAGTAAATAAATAAATAAATAAAGATTTGCAGGTAGCACATCCACATAGTGGTTCTTCGTCTACCTGATTCCTGGTCGAATTGGAATTTGGAAATGTTGGTTTTTGAGGAGAGGGGAAAACCGAAGTACCCGGAGAAAAACCTCTTGGAGCAAGGGAGAGAACCAACAACAAACTCAACCCACATATGGTGTTGACGCCAGGATTTGAACCCGGGCCACATTGGTGGGAGACGGTGGTATAAGTTCCTCGGAGTCAGCGAGGGAGACGGAATCCAGCACTGTCAGATGAAAGAGAAGGTCCGGAAAGAGCACTATCACAGGATCTTGATGATACTCAAGTCTGAGCTGAACTCCGCAAATAAACAGGAAGCTATCAACACCTTAGTAGTACCAGTGGTAACTTACAGTTTTAACATCATAAACAAAAAGAGCTGGCCAAACTTAAAACAAAGACTAGGAAATTCCGAACTATGTACAGGACGCGCCACCCCAAATCTGACGTCGACAGGCCGTACCTGCCCTGTATATCTTATATAATAATAATACGATAGAGAAATATGAAATCCGTAATAAGCAAAACGTTTTTCCCCTAAAGTTCACTAAGTCGTCTTAGTACCCAGATTTTAAGTCAATTTGGCAGTATAAAACAATGCCTTGTGCAAAAAAAGTGCTGTCCATTGCTTCATTTATAATAGACTTGATACAAGTTAAAGCAAAATAGTTTAAATGACTGTTTTCTGCACTTAAAGAACGTTTTAGGATCCTATCCCATAATCTTCTTCTTTATTTACATTCTGTTTTTTTCCATGATTAAGATAGGCCAAAAATTCTAGTTACACTTGCTGTCATAATGAGAAAGTAAAAGTCCCTCAACATATTTCTCTGCTGAATCGTCGCTTGGTGAAGAGGAAATAGGATAAAATTAATCTTTGTAATATCATATGACATCCCCAGTAATTTCGGTGAATTGTTGCAGTAACAATATTACATTCAAAACTCAAATTAACCTGATATTCTCTTAAATGTCTTTCTTGACATCTTGCGTAAAATTGCAGTCAGTAAAGAATATAATATAACCAGCGAGACAGATTGTTGAGACAAATAAAATAATTGCAAGGATATTGTCTTTGCAGTTTATAAATAAAGCAATCAAACTAAGTAAAAAACAAAAATAGCACATACTTATAGAAAGAAACACGTTAATCATGCTAACCAGATGAGGCAATATAATGTTTTCGCACGGATAACTAACACATTGTACGCAATTTTCACATTTTATTTTCGGGTTGGTGGTCAATATGTACTCAAACTAACAGTTCGTTTTCCGATGACTTACTTAATCCCTGCTTGGACTACAGTTGACTCCCGCCACTCGAACCTTCTAGGGAAATCGAAAAAGGTTCGAGTTAGCGGGAGTTCGAAGCAAATAACCGGAGATAAGAAAATGGGATGGGGGGATGAATGCAAGCAACATGCACACTTCAAAACTTGATTAATACACAGGGCTTGACACTGTACTTAAAGTGGACTGGCAAAAAAGTAAAGACAAAGAATACAAGCTTGTTAAAATAATTTCAATGTTTCGGGCTGCAGTACACTTTTTTTCGACTTGTCCGGCGTTAGTTAAACCATGGTTCGAGTTATCGAGGGTAAATTTATGTATGATCTGAAAGGAAACAAAACTGAATTACTTCGAGTTAGCGGGAGGTTCGAGTTATCCGGTGTCGACTGTTTTAAGTTTAGTTTAGCTTAGGAGTCAAAATTGTAACTTTATTTCATTGGGCACACAGCATGGATTCCACTAATGGATAAATAACTACATCTGTATTTGGAGACATTTTCGCTGTTCAAGATGAAAATATTGTATCGGAAAAGGTCGGAAATCATAAACTCATTGAAAGAATAGACATTGGAGATATTAGAACCCGTAATCTTTCTCAATAAAAAGAATACATGCATAAATGAAGAGTACAATACTACACGCAAACGCGAATTTTACTTTAGGTAAGTACCTGTTAGAAAACAAAAGAAAGGAATTGATGAAAATTGTCTATAAGATATGGAATGAAAAACTCCGTTCATGTGCCTACCCGACTGAAAACGTTTTTGAAATGTTTTCAGTATCCGTGAGCCATTTGCTATTGCGGGAAATGGACTTCCTTTAGAGCTTTTCCTCCATGCACGCAAACTTGAGATTGGCTTGTTAGAAACACTCGCTTATAGGATTCCAGTTGGAATTTTTCTACTCAACACGCGGTTGTATTTGGAACTAGATATCAGGTGTAGCATAAACCCTCTATGAAACAAAGCGATAATAAATAATGACTCCAGGCTTTTTAAAAAGCTCGAAATTTCATTTCAGACTGGGTTTTCCTGAACACTGCATTAGACGTGAAGGGTTCATGGTGGAATTCCAGCATTCAAGCTTACACATTCCTAAGTTAACGAAAAGAATGTGAATGCACAGAAATAGTTTAACACTGATAGATACGCCGTCAAATAGTTTCATTTTGAAGGAGTATTTCACGAAAGAGAAACACCAATAAGAACTTCTGAAAAGTTCATCGGCTGACTCGAGTGTCTGAAGGACGCTCGTTTACTGACTGGAGTTTATTAACCTATAACGTACGACTTTCGTGCATTAGTGCCTTAATCCCGTGAGTAAACATTTTTCGTATAATCGATGCCACACAGTAACTATATCTTTACATAATTACCTTAGTAGACATTCACATTACCGTTGTTTTAAAGCCTCCCATTTTTTACGTCGCTCACGGGTTACCAAAGATTTTTTTCAGCTTTTGGTTTTTTCCATTGTTGCTATTGTTCTTTTTGCTGAAATAAGAGACAAGCCGCGGATGTGGACTAAGGATCTGATTCACGTATTGGCCCATCGCGCGAAAACATACATGATAAAACAAACATTTTAAGTTATACTTATGATCAAACTTTGTAATCTAATGCGAAAGAAATCAACATTAAGGGACACTACTTTGCTCATGCTTGATAGACTTAACCATTTGTGAATGTTAAATAAGCTCTAATATAAAATCGTATTTGTGCGGATACTCTTCGGGTAATTATTCATTTAGATACCATGAACTTATAACTCGACAGTCGCATTGGAAAGTGAGTCGATGGAATGAAACAATGAATTGGATTGACGTCTCAAATGAAAGATTTTGCAGAAATATGTTTAGAGAAAATCGATTACCAAAAAATACAACAACAAACAGATTAGAAGGACTTATTACTTTTTTAATTGTAACACATGTATAAAATTATTGAACGGAGACGACAACCGTATATTTGGTGATATATCTTTTTTTGTTCACTACCAAATTTGTGCATCATCATGGTGATCAAAACAAGCAATTGAACCATAGACTTGTTTCATACCAAAATCCTAAAATGATCTATTTTAGTGCCAGACTACCAATAAGGTAGTTCTAATTATACTTTCTCTACAGTAAAAAAATTGAACCTTCTTCCGTCCACTCGTACGACTTGTACGAATCGACTATTTAGAGAAGAGATTCTTGCATTTACGTAGCTGTAGTGGCTAATTTCTAAGTGTGACTATTGGAGTGAACGTCCATTCAGAGTCGACATTATTTGAAAACTCCCGTAAAATTTGCTTATCGAGGAAGAAAGTTTTACAAACAAGAATATCAATACAAACAAAAAATAAATCAGAGAAAAGAATGCATAAGAGTATTATTCATAAAACCTCAGTGATAATTTTACTGAACTATTAATAAAAAAGCTGCCGCAGTTAGCCTTCCAATATAAGCGTGGCGCCACGAAGCACGAGCATGTACTTTCGTCATTGTGTTCCTAACGAGGCAAATGTCAAATAACACCTGTTAATTTGACCACCTGGTAAAGGAATGCACGGAACGTTTAAAGAAAACGTATGCACGACACGAAACTTACTTTCATAATGTTAGTTAGTAGGTTAATGAGCATGAAACCTGCAGAAAATCCATTTATTATCACTAATTATTATGTCGCAGTATGAAACTTTTGAATGCTGTAAAACCTTCGCTATCTCTACTAAAAGCTTATACATAGTGATATAAATCTCTCTACTCAATTTAGAGTATTATTAAATTCTGATACTCTGTAAAACCTTCGCTATCTCTACTAAAAACTTATTTATAATAATATCAAACTCTAATGTTCTAAAAAATCTAAGTAAAAACGTCAGCAAGCTTGTGTTTCTAGATTTCTAG